AGCCTCCCTGGTGAATTTTGTGAGAGCTGAACACACTCGCAATTTCACAAAATCGCTCAAAGGTGACAACGGTTTGAGGGCCAGAGGTGTCCTTAGAATGACTGTGGCTAAGGCCCGACTTACCTCCTGCTAGAAGGCACATCACCGATGCTAATGCGTCTGCACTGCTCAAAAGTGCTGAGCTAATATCTTCCTCGTTTTCGCTCGTGTCCACGAACTCTTTCGTCAGATACGCCTTCAAATCCGCTGCATTGAAGTACCCTTTCTTGTCGGTATCAAGAGCTTGAAACAGCTTCTCCATCTTACCTGTCGAGGTAGTAGGAGTAAATTGCTGCTGGAAATGTTGTACAACTCGAGTTTGTAAGCGTTTCCTCACTGAAAGTCCAGTAAAAACATGATTAAACGAGCGTAATCGATCGTTTCATCGCCTTGTGTTTGTCCCGTAAATCTTCGTTGCAACACACGAATTTCCCACTCGGCCAGTTTTTTGTTCCCCTTACAAATCACACGATAAATTTTGTTCCAATCTTCGCTTCGAATTGTTCCGTTGTGCTCATAGTCAAAAGTCTCAAAAACTTTCTTCACTTCGACTAAGGAATCCGGTAGTCTGACGCTAGAAAGCACAGCGTTCCAGTCGAATAATGCGTCGAAGAAAGCGTCGCAATGCACGCGTGTTGCATCTCGAGTTGAAGGTTTTGAGAACTCCCCAACAGTGTGTTGAACCACATTCTCCACCAGTCGTTGCAGATCCTTCTTTCGTACACCAACAACGCCCAAATCGCGGAACATTTTGTCCAGTTGTTGCACTAATGTAGCTTGTGGAATCCAACCGTGAGAGCTACGTCCAAGACTGTCAAGTATGTGCTGTAGATCGTACGACGAACAGCACTTCGCGATGAGCTTCTTAACCGATTCAATGTCACCATCTTGAAAGGACAACGTGGTCCAACAGTTTCTTGTTAAGAATTTGTTGAGTGTTTTTACTTGAACTGTTCCGACGTGGTCGGAATCTAGAGATGCGAACAGATACAACATCTCGATGGTCGTCAACGGATACGTCTCCGCTCGAACGATGAACGTATCACTGAAGTCTTGAAT